GAGTGTCGCACAATTACCCTAAGTATGTGTTATTTGTTCGGGACACTCTCTCACATGAATTTTGCCTCGGTCAGTCGGCATAGCATCCAACAACCTCTTTGTATTTTCAAATCTAACCATTTTATTGTTCAGATAAAGCAAATAGTAACACACTGATTTACATTGCCAACAGGTATTAAAGAAATCCACCGCTCTGCTTCATGTATCTGAAGACCCTACTTAGTCTGTAGGTTCGATCTGCGTTCATGCTACTATTTGCTCTTTATTTTCATAGCGAAAGCAAATTCGAATGTAAAATTTCTAGGGAATGGTCGATTGATTATGAGTGCAACAAACTAAGTTCACGCTTAGCTGCTAATCTTGTTATCATGGGCTGAAGAATTGGGTTGGGCATGCTGTGCGATCCACCGTTTGAGAGATCGCATGCCTAACTTTTAACCCCTCAGAGGCAGATAAATAAAGCACTACTATAACCGGTAAAACTGGGTTTAAAGAGATTCGTCTGCGAGAACTGCACGTTTTCCATCTCCACATTTCCATGTTTTCTCATAAACAGACAGCTCAAGAACACCACCCAAGACTCAGACTGCTACAGCCTCACCCCTTTCACTATATCAACGGACTAGATGTGAATCGAGCTTGGAGCTAATCCGCGTAGAACGTTTTGTTGATGGCATTTCATAACCTCCAATGCACAATCTCTTCCAAGCGGTCTACTTTAAATTGTAAAGAACTGTACACAGACTTCTTCTCAACAATTAGTCTCTTGGGTAACACCTGTAGTCGTGGCTTCAAACACATCAAACAATGTGTACTGTACAAACGTTTCGTAGACGACATTTTGTGCCTGGTCGATACTACAACGGACTGCTATCATATACTGGAACAGTTCAATGCTGCTCACTGGAATCTGAAGTTTACAACTAAAAATGAAGCAAACTATCAACCTTTGCCCATCAAGCTTTAGCCAAAACCCGCAATCCTTTAGTCAAAGCCCGTCGTCCTTTAGCCTCAACGCACAAACTTTAGTCACGCCGCAGTAGGCAAGTCAGATCAACAAGTTCCGGAATATTATGAAGTCAACGGATGTTGAAAAAAGTTATTTTCTACAAATGTTGATGTTGCAAAGCCTGGTTAAGAAATAAGGTGTGGGGGTTGTATGCTGTAACACATGTTGATTGGAGAAGCTTTAACCGATCTGCCCGTATTGTGAAACCATTTGACAGATCTGTTATAACTTCAGTGTTTCTGTATAACACCCTATATTCCTGAAAGTGAAAATCGCAATTGTTACTTAAACGATACATTGTTTTGCGATAACAAGTAAACTCTGTTCATCAGCTGGGGATACAAAAATCTACTGAGGATAAAAAAACGTTCGTAAAAGTACACCCTCATAACTATCATCAATTTATTAACGATGTAACGTAAGTTGTAACTTCCACGGTCGAGGCTTGATTATTATCGGGTTTTGTCTGTAGCTTCTTGGGAAACGGTGTTCTAAAGGGGTCTTTTGTGAGCAGTGTTTATTATCCTCGACCGTTTAATGTATCCATATGTCAAAAACAGAGTTCCCTTTAAGTGGATATACGAAACCGTAAGCATATACCCTTTGATTTATTTCAGGGTGTGAATGTATCGTTTAGGTAACACTTGCGATTCTTACTCTCAGGAATATCGCGTGTTATACAGAAACACTGAAGCTATAACAGATCTGTCAAATGGTTTGACAATACGGGCAGATCGGTTAAAGCTCCTCCAATCAACAAACAACAGCCCCTACACTTTATTTCTTAACCAGGCTTTGCAGCATCAACATTTATAGAAAATCATTTTTCTCAACATTCGTTTACTTCAGAGTTTTCGGAAATCTTTTGATCTGACTCGTCCACTGCGGCGTGACTTAAGTTTGTGCGTTGATGCTGAAGGACTACGGGTTTTGGCTAAAGGATTGCGGGTCGAGACCAAAGGATTGCGGGTTTTGGCTAAAGCTGGATGGGAAAAGGTGTAGCATATTTAGATGTTTCTCTAATTCGTTGTGATGATGGGTCCATCAGGCGGTCAGTACACAGGAAGACAACTTGTACTGGGCGGTACATTCCTGTCTGTAGCTCTGTACCAATCAGTGTAAAGAAGAATCTCATACTCTGTTTGACCAATAGAGCTAGACGAAGTTGCACGAAGGACATACTGGTTAAAGCACTTCAAAATGTACGGAATATCTTTATCCAGAATAGAGATAGCCAAAGCTCTTGGTGGACTCCATTGTGAAACAACAAAAGGCGTTTTCCAAGAGGGAAATTGTTGAGAAGAAGTGTGTACATTTCCTTACCATTTAAAGGAGACCTCTTGGCAGAGGTTTTGCATAGAAGGTTATCAGAAGCCATCAACAAAACTTTCCACGCGGATAAGCTCCAAGCTCGATTCACGTCTAGCCCGTTGGTTGAAAGATAGAGTATCCGATTCTGCTGCCTTTTTCCGTATTTACTCTTTCACTTGCTCCTGTGGAGCAAAGTACAATGGCCACATGACCAGACGTCTGTCCGAGCGCATCCGTGAGCATCACCCTGTGCCGTTATGAAGTGGAGCAATTAAGTCTTTCACAAATCCGCTCGTGTTGCAATTTGTGGACACTAATCACATCGTAAATGTGGTCGAAGCGTTCCGACCCCTGTATAGACACGTGCGGTATCTCATTCCAGGCACAGCGGAGGTAGTTTCCATCCATCTTCACAACCCTCCTCTGTGCTCAGAAAAAAATTGTGCCAGGTCTCAAGCTCCCATGGCCGGGTTGTCGACCTGTCATGACACATCGGATCAAATGGTAATTCGGGACCAATTATGAAACAAACTGTTGAACGCTTTAATTACTCCCTTTTCTTCCTTTTAAATCCTACTCTGTTAAAAGTGATATTTATTGCTCTGTGATGGCATAATTAAGATACATTNTAACAACGTGCTTGTTTGCCAATTTTTGTTCTCATTGCATGATCTCTTTAAGTGGTTTTCACTGCATCGCATTTCCAACAGAAAACCGTCAACAGCAAAAGACATAACTTCACTGGGATGCAAACCGAACCAGCCTTTGTAATTGGATATTGTTGCACCAAGCTCTAATTGAAACTGGTTAGTCCAGAGCCATAACCAATAGTTATTGTGTATTAGTAAAATGGGGTCTTCCTCACATGGAGCCAAGCGCAGGTTTGCCGATCATCCTCACGCAATCTTGCCTGCCACTATACGCATCCATGAACACAGATAGTGTTATTTTGGATGAACGTATGAGATCCTATGTTCTCACTGGCGTAACCTGCAGTAAGTGATCCTGATTTTTAAAAGAAGTCTCGCAAAATTCTCGGGATTGCGATTGGCATATGCCTTGCAAGTTCAGCTACTGATATCCGTCAAGTGGTATATGTTTATGTTTGAGTCATTTCTGTCGGCTAGAGATTGTGGCTAAATAATTGCGGGTTTTGGCTAAAGCTTGAAGGCCGAAATATGCATCTGTGGTTACTGGTTCGATCCATGTTCCAGTTTGGTGTTTCCAGGGTTTGCAGATTCCAACGTGAATCTTTTTCCTATTAAACTCTGCCTTGCCACACCAGGTTGATACACATGAATTTAACAGGAAGCGAGAACCGAATACAGTGCAACAGTACTACAACCTTAGCAGGTGAATAACTGCGTATCTGTACTCAGCAGGTTATATTGATCGCCACAGCCAAGTATCAGTTGGAGATATCACTCTTACTCTAAATACATTGGGGAAAAATATGAATTTTTTCTCTGACCAGATTTCACGATGGGATTTCGAGTTTTATCGATTCTAGAACACGGTGACCTGTTCACGTACGCGACTTGAAACATCAACTCTGAGGAACCGTTCGTTCTACTTCGATAACGGAGTGCTTTGAAAATAGCGATATGGATTTTCTTATAACCGAACACAACAGCGACCAATGAATCACAAATAAACGATATTTCACATTCACTGTATAATGAAGAATGCCAAGGGAGTAAAGAGCTGGGGACAGAGCGGAAAAATAATACACATCCCGAGGCACATCGTCCCCCTGCGATGTGCTACACGAATGTCACACAAATATGGTGTGTTTACCGCTGGCGCGCCAATTGTTCGAGGGTGAATAATGCGATGGGTTTAAACAAACAAAATACTTTCGGATAAAATAGTTATTCAAATGGATTTCCCAGGAGTAGCTGTGTACAGTTTATTTATTGTCTCGAAATAGCTAATAATATAATCGATAGCACAACTTGTGCAGATCAAGTTCTGATGCAAGCCCGTATGTAATCAGTACGGGAATCCTGTAAGCAGTAACCGTCTTCTGAGCTGCATATCGTATCCATTGCTTTAATCCTCCCAATTCTATTCTATGTCATCAAGCCTCGGGGTGTGTGAGAGTATTTGTTTGTTGCAACGGTGTGGTTATTTCAGCGGAATGAGTTTTCCCGGAACCCGGTGGCGTTTCGGATCTGGGTTCCGGCACTGGAGAATGCGTATCCACTTTATTGATTCCATTAGTAGCAAGCGATTCCACGTGATCGTTTACGCTATTCTCGGGCGGGTGTTCGGTACAGTTCATCTTATATGGAATTGCACCACCGGAAACGTTTGTATTGTTTGTGATCTGGTGCTGATCCAACAGATTGCTGTTGTATTCACTAACAACGGTCGGATTGAGCGATGGACTCCGGGGACTGGTGATTCGACGTTGTGGTCGACGAGTGGCCGAAGTGAACTCCAGTTCGTCACTGTGTCCATACTTGGCGAAACTATCGCGACAACAGCCACAGCGTACAAACATCATACGGAATAACTGATGTACACGTTCCCGAAAACTGTGTCCGGTGGCATAGTAGATAATGAAACCAAAGGCGTAATAGGACATGGCAATTTCATCCGCAAACGTTTTTATAGTCAAGATCCGCATTGTCAGCAACCATTGGCGATCTTTTAGGGCCTGTAAATGTGAAATAATAAAAAAAAATTCAACTTCAATTCCGTTAGCATGGTCAATGATAATCGTAAATAGGGTCATTGGGCACACAGAATGAGTGCGGTCACCAAGGAGGTAGGCTCCGTGTTTAGATAATGCAAACGTACATCTAGATAAGTTAGTGCATTGTGTAAACATGCAATGATCAGAAACCGCGCCAAATCTTTTGTAGGTTAACATATCTTTTTTTTCACACAATGGCAAACGATTCACAGACGAGAAATGCAAGCGCATTTTTGAATGCATCAATCAATGGATTGTTTCACCACTGACATTAAAGGATCAAAACAGCAGCCAGGTTCTTTAAAGAAAGACTTATCGCACCGTTCATTGAGACAATACTACAAATAGCAGATTATGTTCCGTTCGAGCCAGGAAAGAGCTCATAGTTAAGGTTAGAAACAAAACACATTTGACCAGTTACTGCGGTATGGAGTCACTCAAATGTTATTTATATTTGCTGAACGTTGGACTCTGTTGCCATTTGGTCTAGATGAAACCAAAACGTAAAATCAGTTGGTTCTGACAACGTTTGGACAAGCAGCGTAATACGTGACCCAGTTTCTTCAGCTAGTTATTTTTGCAACCATGGCCTTTGGAGTTATCGAATTCTCCTCCCCCTGAACTATTGAGTGTGCCATGTATCACACTCGTAATGTTCACTGGTTTCCCTGTAGTCAGTCAGGCTGCAAATGTGGTGTTGATACTCAGGCAAAGGTATCGATTGCTCTACCATTGGTCACAAAGGTAAATCTGATGGTATTCGTCATTGTACAATAATGAACTGAGTCGTATAAACCAGAAGAAACTACTGCATCGTCTAACTGCAAGAACCATTCAATCCTAAATCAATGGTGAAAAATCTTTCGCATTCAGATCTTGGTTTCATGTAGTCCTCTGAAATTTTCAAACGACTCACATTTTCCAACTTCGCTTTACCTATGATGTCTTTTATCATTGCCCACATTTACCATAAAAACATATGCTTCCACTCCTGATGGAGTTATTCCAATAATAATAATACTAATAATAATAAATTCCGCAATCAGGAAATGCTGGTCTTCAAACATTACCGATCATTCGTTCTTAGGCACTTAATGAATCAGTGTTTTGCTCGTCTATCCATATACACACCGTCTTTGCCGTTCCATTACATGTTCAAAACTTCACCAAGTTAATTTATAATCCACCGACAAAGGCCTGTTGAATTTCCTCCAGCAGAGTTACGTTAGCAATGAGTTTAGCTGGGAGAAAAACAGGACCAACGAGTCTGGAATTGTAGATGCTGCACCGTAGGCTAACCCTAACATCAAAATGTGTCTACCGTTCACCATATTCCAATGAATTCGTCCTACGCCCTATTTTGTTTTGCTGCTCACCGGTCCTTTATTGCGAATATTGTAAAACAAGAAGCCCACACCCAAGGTTTGCTTGGTAAAAAGCCCATTAATAATCCAGTTGCCGTACTCCATCCACTGAGTGTCGTCTCTAGGGAATAGAGTTTGAACTGGGTGGGATTTGCAGCTCCAATATCATTCTTTCCTCTCGTTTGTTTCAACAGATCTCGTTGAGAATTTCAATTTGATGGTGCTGTTCAAACATATGTACTCTTAGTTCTCGGACGAACAGATTTACTGCTGCTGTAATTGCAAATAGATACTTCAATTTCACACATCCTGTTCACATGGTTCATATTTTTATTGTCATTCGAATTGCGACCGGGACTCTTTGTATGGCGTCATTTATTGATTTGCTCAATGATTCAATGGCTTTTTATGTAATTCAATGAAAACGCTCCGTTCTTACTCTAAAGATAATCCATTGATCACAATGATGCTCCTTTAGAATCCTTCTACGAGCTAGCAATTCGACTACTCGATAGAAATCCTTTGATTTACTGACATACTAACCATAATGAACAGTTTGCACAGATTCAGGGATCTTACACTGGGGCAACGTTTGTGAGAAACAAGGTTCTACAGTTGACAATGACGACACAGAGAGATCGAAGAAGAAATAGACTCTAGTGGTTGTCATTAAGGAACATAATTTGTTTTTTGGAGTAGTAAGCTTGGATTAGCCCATTCGTTTGTTAAGAGGCACCAGGACCGAGCCCAAATAAGACGAACTAGCCGTCCGGGGCGCGTTGTTGGTTATCAAAAATATTTCTGTCCTAATTCGCTTTTGTTATCGTGTCAAACCATTCCGTTTCTAGAGGCAACTGGCTTGGTGGTTTTTGGTCTTAGCGGTGTGGGTTTCACCTCCTGGAAGGTCGTAAAATGCCCACATTGGATCACATTTTAGTTGTCCGGATGACTGGCAGAAAGTACTGGTAAACTACTCTGCCCACAATGTGCACATTTTCTGTTCCAACCGGAACTCAAATAGAGAACATTCAGGTTGGTAGCAGAAACTCTCTTCCATGAGCCGAAGCAATCGATGACCAATAGGCGAAACGAATGAGCATATCAAGATAACTATTTTCAACCGGTTCCAACATCCAAAACATCTGCTGTTTGTTAGTTGGTAATGATTAGGGTGTAAATCGCAAGCAGGCGAAAACAGCAGCAATTAAGAAGCACTCTTCCACTCTTCAGAGTTAGTGACACAAAAATCTAATCCACTAGGTGGAGTATTCCCTTTTGAAGTTGTAGAAAAAGAAGACTTATGCAATCCCCTATTGATATGATTTGCAACCGTGGGTGCCACGTTGCGATAAGACCACCAGTGTGATTACCATTTCGTGCCGTTCAATTAAACACAGCTTGCGTGTTTTGTTTCAATTTGCCAAAGTCGTTAGAGAACGAAACATTGCAGATTAAAACCATNTAGCTTTTTTTAAATGCCAGTGTGTTAGATGACTTTGTCCGTGGAAAACATTCACAAAGCAAAGTTGCAAACGACACTGTGTTTAAGGTGAAATCGCTACAATTGTTCGAATAAAAAGTTTTGCGAAGAAAGCACGTTGTCAGACCTAATGTGGTATGCACCTGATATGCACTTTTGCACAAACCTTCCGGAACTGGCTGTCAACTGATAACAACACCACAGAACCATGAAAACCCATTTTTCAAAAACGATGAAAAATGTTTGCTCTGGCCTACCGATGGTTGTATTTCCACATCATAAGGTCATCTGCATAATGAGAGAGGTGTGTCAAATAGACAAACAGGAACTGATGTCACAAGGACTGACGTTGCCAATCCGTTGGCTGAAACCGTTCCGCAACGGAGAGTATTATCACTTTCTCGTCCCTCGCATCCTCACGTTCTTCACTCTAACTACTCTAGTGATGATGAGCGCTTGTGAGTATTCGCCTGAGCTATGCTCACTCAAGGAATCCATTCTCATAGTACAACGGTACCCCGTGCAATAATTGCAGACGCGACCGTTACTTCAGCATTCGCGAATACAGCTGAAAGATTGAATTGCAAATACCACGTGACTAGTCCCCCGGCCTCTTCCGCTTTTCGAGATGCTCTGACTCTAAATCGAGCGTCCACGAACGTCCACGACAGAGCTGAGAGGTAATGCTTGAATGCTTTGCGGCGAGCTCACAGCAAAGGCACTTGGGTTCATGCATATTCACATTTATATGCTTGACAACTTGTTTTAGTGGGTACAATCTGGAATTTAATACATGGCCATTAAAATAAACTATTTACCTTGATTCATTCATGTGGTTGTGTACACGGGATAGGATAAGTGGGCTAAAAAGATGGAGAGCGTCGTCGGAGTGTTCAATCTAGGTTAAGCGTTTCCAGCTGCTGTAGATATTTAACCCCATAAATTCTGTTCGAGCAGGGTCAGGTGAATAAATAAAACTTTGTATTGAAGTCTGATGCCATATCGTGCAGAGGTAAGGTGAAAACAGTCATTTTAAAGACTGAGCAATCAGATCTCAGTTTGCTGAATGAATCACGTTGTTCGCGGTGCTGTGATTACAATTAGAGCCCCGTCCAGCGTGCCAATTCACTTTGGTCTGCATGCGACACATTTTATCCTATTTTGGATCGCGGTTGTTCAACTGCTATTTCGAATCCGTAAGCAACCTCATATTTCGATGGTAAAGTGCATGCAATGTTAATATAACAATGATTCAAAAGTCACGAGTACGTCACTCAACAGTGTCTTTTGCTCGGTTTCTGGAGTTCTTCAACGAAAATGAAGTAATAGTTTTTCATTTATATATCTATTAATATATATTTTCGTTAATAACTGTCACCCTTATCAAACGGTTTCACAGGAGTGCTGGATGAAATTTCCCTAACTTCAAAATATGCATGTCGGTCCCCCAGATGGAGATGAATAAAGTTGAATAAAAAACCACACCCACCAATTATTCACATCATCCAATGCACCACTTGTTTTCTCTGGATTGATTTATTTCCCTTCAAAACCACCCTGGTGGCCTGCGGCCGACTGATTCCGTGTTCAGTCACAAATTGGTGTGCATGGCGTCGTTCACCAACTCGCCCAGCCACGCACACACCACTGACTTTGGTTGAGGAGTAAAAAAATATATAGCAAATCATTCAGAATCGCAAAATAGATAACAGGTGTGAATTTGAACAAACAGGCCACGTTTTTCCTGTGAGTCAGATGTGGTAAGTTGGATTAATTGTACCAATGTTAATGTTTATGCATTTCACAGGGAATGGTAGAGCAAATATCTCTCTTATCACAGGAAAAATCCAGTCTCATGATGGTTTGTTGGTGGGAACAGTTTATATAAAATCTGTGGCTCTTCTACCGAACCTATTTGCTGGGAATGTTTGACTGATGAGACAAAGACACCGTTGCAATCAAACTCAGATAGCGGCTTTAGCGGCCAAAGCTGAACAACGCGATCCTTCCCTCCTTACTCAAAAGTAGTTTACTCCTGCGCTTTTCTGGTTCACGACGGTCCCACCTGTTATGTGTTTTGATTGACCATATCTGTAATGCTGAAATTGATGCCTTCCTAATGTTTGCTAACAATATTCTATCAAGATTGATGATCGCTGTCATCGGCGTGCTTTTGAACCCTATGGTCCGAGGTTCGAGCCCCGTCGCCGCCGCCGCCACCCTACTTTGGTGATAGGCAGCTCTGTTTTCGTCCGGTGCAAGACCATGGCTCATCTATCGGGGATTATGGGGTTCGCCACTCCAAGTCGCTGGGCTTAGGTTGTCTGTTTCCACCACTGAACCGTAGATTATCGTGACTATGTGACGATGCTGTTCCGTCCCGTCCCAAAGACAACCTCACACCGTCTCGGTTAACCCCTCTTCAGTAACTCTTTGATACATTATTCCGCCCGGATAGTAACCGACAAGGGTAGTTTTCGTTCTGAGAGAGAGCTACCAGAGAGCTACCACTGAACTACGGGTTGGGATTCTTTAGTGGTATAGCAAGCAAATTTATTAACCACAGAACCACGTGATCGAGGGGCAAAATGGGTGATTGGTTGTAATTAGTTACGTCCATGCTGAGCGCTATTCATTTTACACATCTCCCAAACCTCAGGCGTGAAATACGAATTACAGTTAGATGAAACAACTGAGACGTTAATCTCCCCTATGCGACATTCTTCAAAATCATACCACAAACACAAAGCTACAAACCAGTAGCTATTCTAATGCGATGAAAATATTTGTCATGACCGACTGACAAACAACACCTGGACAGTTGTTTCGTCCCGTTTGTGACTCGTCAGCAGCGCGTACATTTTCTGTCCAAAGCTTGATACTTGAAATCAGTGGTTATCGTGTTTATCTTTTCAAGAGAGGGAACATAAAACACAATAAAGTAAATACCGTTTGGTACCTTAATGGAGCGACCAAATTTCAGCCTAAGGAACAAAGATACAATTTCGGAGATTCTTCTACCACGGGGATGAGATATCTTATGTAGGAGAAAGAAAATAGGGGAATTACTTTTAATGGTCGGGAAAATGAATACAACGTGTTTATCTAACTGCCACATTACATTATGCAACCGAGGCCGTCAAAAACAGCAACTCACCTCATCTTCGGTCAAAGTAAGATCGGGCTCATCAAAAATATGGTTTAACAAATACATGGAACCGGCCAACAATGTGGCAATGATCATGTAAAAGCTAACACAGAGCAACATGAATGTGGTTGATCGGAAACTCGGACTGTGTCGTTCTTCCGGGTTTGCTTGACTTGTCGCAAAGCTTCCTCTCGTGCCGTTACTCCCTGCAGAACCAATGCCGGATTTACTAGGCCGTCCCGGAGGTTTCAAGCAATCAGATCCACAGCTTTCTCGAACAAGTGGGACGTGCGCAACTCCGGAATAACTTCTCGTGGACTGACATGGCCATTGTGATGACCGGCGGCAACATAACAGGTCGGTCAGTCGTGAATGCTCTAATTGTTTGCTCCTCGAAACGGTTGATTTTGTTGCGGTGGTCCCCCCAGTCAGCCGATTTGATGTGCTTTCCAACGTTTTGTTCGTTCGATGCACCCTAGCCAATTCTCGAATCACAAGGCAATTGAAAATGAGAACCATCAAAGGAACTATGCCGGAAAAAATAGCTTCTAATGTTGCCAGGTAGAAGTTGATTGCAAATCCATCAATCTTTTTGTAACAATGCGTGGGTTCGGTCCCAAATCGTACAGCATTTCCCAAACAGATAATAAGGGTACCCGAACAGATGAGACAGCAAATGAGCATTGCTCGTTTTGCATTGCATATCCGCTTGATAAGGAATGGTCGGCACACGGCCAACCATCTTTCGACAGTGAATCCCAACACATACAAAGGTGAGGCGTACTGTACGGCGGAAAACACGGTGTTTAGTACTTCACATGCACCCGGGGTGTTACGAGCGAAAACGCCCCAATTCCGGTCAAGGTCACGATGTAGCGCGAAGATAAGAATGATGATATCGTTCAGAGAAAGAGCAGCCAAATAGATTGCGGCCGAATTGCCCTTGTACACTCGTCGACTGGTCCACACAATCATTGAGATTAGATTTCCGGGAAACCCGATTATGTAGTAGATTAGAGTCACATACCGATCAGCCCAAATTGCCCATGGAATAAAACGATCGGCGAATGCCATCCAACTGTTATATTTATAGCCGATTGGTGTCTTGTTGGTTGGAGCAGTTTGATCCTGGGACTCAGCTACATCCGGGCTCATCTGAGCGTGTATTGTACAAGTAATGATCAGGATGATTTGCAAGGTGCACTGGATTTTGATCGACATTTGTATTCTGTTTAGAAAGAGCAGGGCGAAAAGGGGAATGCAGATCATCGATCCATGTGCGTGAGAAACAAAACAACAGTGTCCCTAAAACCATTGATTTTTGGTTTGTTATAAATGATGATTGAAAAAACAAAAACAGTTTTCTCTCCTTATTTAATATTTTTTTCTCTTTTAATAGTGTGCATGAGGGGACATCGTTCTGACAACGATAAATGAAATGCCCATATGCTTCTTCAATGATTTTATGCCACAGTAATGAGGCTGTTTTTGATCATATTGCTTTATCCATCGGTTTCGAAGCTAGCAAGCAAGCAAGCATGGTATCACATCCAAAGTCTTTGAAGAAATTGTGCGTTGTTCTCATAGTATTAGATCCGTTTAGGAATGTTTGGATTAGCCATAGCGAGAGAAAACCAAAAACAACAACTTTCGGTTGACAACGTTTTGACCCTCCTGGAAGACCTTTTTCAAATCAAGCAAGCATGGCTTCAAACATGATGTGAATATCTTATCTTTAAGCATAGGTACAAGCTCAAGAAGCAGACCCGATTACATTTTAATTGCATCGATTATTTAAAAGTTGTTTTTTCGGTTTACAGCACAATGTGATCACTAGACCACTTCTCTTCAATCTCTCCGCCTATGAAACTCCTCTGGAATTTTCTATTTATGCCGGCTTTAATGTAACAAGACCACTTTTGGTAAGAACGACAAAACGCACTGTTTCATACCATTTTGCAAATCGGAAAACGCATTTATCCACTAGGTGCAATTTGGTACATAACAAAAGGAGTGAAAAAGTGTCAGTCCTTTCAGCTGAGCTTCTGTAGCTACAACGCAAAATGATGAGCGACCGCCGTTCCGGTTGAGACTGTCAAAGAATAAGTAGTACCAGAACTCTGCTTGTCTTAAATTGATTGTCGTGCATAGCCTATTAGATATAGCTATTATTTCACTTCGTGATTAACTAACCTTCTATCTCCCCTGGAAACCTGATGTATCGGGTGTAGGTCTGTGCAGCCGAATGGTCACTGCAAGACCTTATTTCCACAGGCCAAACAGTCCTAATTTGTAGGCTAGTAGTGGCGACCAGCACCAGAGCTCTCGTGGAGTATGGCGTCATCTTTCAATCTATAGGGGACAGCAAAACTATTCCAATGTATGAATCGGTTCAACAGAATCTTGATGCTCTTCAGAGACATTGTACTGCAGTTCCCCTTTTGCCGTTAGCTGATAAACGTTCCCAAACCATCTTCGTTGTTTGTTTGTTTTCTTCTCTGATTTTGTTTTCTTCCTTTGGCCAACAATAGCCAAAACATCAGGTTCATTAAAAATAATTTTGATCATCTCACGATGCATGTTTCCCTCCCTTATCTGACCATAGTACTAATGTTCTTTATGCAATGCTGAAAGAACCGTATACTCAGGATTGTTCATTTAATCTTTTTTATCCATGTCTGAGCTTTGAACGTTTTTTTTAATGTTTCTTTTAAAACGTTGGCTCTGATCAAGGCTTCTGAGGTCGACATGAAGCATGTGTGTAATTAGAACCTAGACGAGTTATTCTACTTGCACTGAATTTCCCAGTATGTTATGAAGAAAAGGTGTCCTCTGGATTCCTTACGTTCCAAAGAGACTAATCAGACGTTTCTTAAACTCTCACATGATTTGGCGATTTCCTGCAAAATGAGTTCCATTTGATAGAACACAGATTCGTTGACCGTAGTGAAATATTTTGTTCTCTTGCATTGAGTCGTTGCGCAAACACAATTTGTGTGAGTATTGTTGAGTAGACCAAAGGTAAATAAAGCGTACGAAGGTCGCCACGAAGGGTTTGACAATTCCGGGGGTATCACATGCTTAAATGCACATGGAGCGCGTGATTCGAGTTCTTCTGAAATTACGGCTTACCAAATCCGCTAATACAACAAATCAGCTTGTAGACAGATCTAATGGTCCGTTTGGTACTGGTTGAAAGCAAATACGGACAACAACTGAAGGTTTTCAAAGTTCGCCGTTTGTGTTTTTCATTTATTGCCACGGCTAGTACCTATCTTGCTTTTGGTATCCCTTGTTGTAATGTGCGATCGGTCCCTTGTAACAGATGTGGCTCTGTCAAAGAATACAGCGTCCAGAATATTTAAGCTGCTTTATGTTTTTGCCATATTCAACCTATGGTTCTTGATTACCCAGTATCGGAATAAGCAATCCGAATAAGGAAGAACGGTCTAAATGCACGAACGTCCGGTGTTACCTATATTTGCTAGAATTACAGTTGGCTTATTTCGTTTACCTGATAGCAAATCGCATTTCCCAATAGCCGTAAACTTATTTCCTCAGTTCAAAACCCAAACTGAACTAGTATCAGTGAAGTGAAATGTGGCTACAAACAGATCAAGTATTTTGGCAAACCCTTATTTATTTCAAGTCGTGAATTATTCCTATTGATGCATAAGAACAAAGTTAAAACGTGAAGAAATTTCTTTTCAATATATCGCCTTAGGCATTTACGTGTATAGTTCGATTAGTCGGTAGAATAAAACAAGGTCTAGGCTGATGTTGACTGAATGTCTGTGTGCACAATGTTTGGTTGACAACAAACTATGGGGTCACGATAACTGGAGACGGAAAAAGCCAGATAAAACTGTGTGAATTGGACACGATTTGAAAGGTGTTCTTCCAGAATGAATAAAACAGATGTGAGTGTGCAAAAGAGGCACTAAAATAGGAGTAGGGTAGTGAGGGAATGGAAAAGTCCAATAGAGATATGGGCAATTGTTTTTGTGGCGATGGTGACAGCAGCGCTTGAACCAGATTACGTTGCTTGCACAATTCCGGCTTCAGGATTCTAATTGCTACAGCTTCCGCAGTGGTTAGGATCTTCTTACGTAAATTTACAAAAGCGGCAATTTGTTGCCTTCAAGAATTTCCCAATAAACGTCCACAGTTATGGTCAAATATTAAGACAAGTATCATCACTTTTCTGGTCAAACGTCTAACGCATTGACAGATTCAGCGAATTTAGGTAATCGTATTTCGTCCCAGAATACGCCTAAACGAATTAAACTTGATTTCACAAACAAAGCAAAGGTGATTCTTATGCGATAAAATTTTCACTAGACGGACATAACGCATTGATCAGTTGATCTTTGCGAAACAGAAAGTTTTAGATAATGCAAAACACAGGTATTTATTGGTATTTTGAACAAGTTATCTAAGGTGCTATCCTTGGATTCCCATATAAATGGTTTATTGCTGTGTTCGCGGACTACAGATCCAAATATTGTAGATGACGTGAAACTGCATAGGGTTTAACCAGTCCTCGGGGAATACTTATTGCATTGCAAAAACAACGAGTTCAAATTGTCGTTTTCCATGGATGAATCAGTCAGAACCACCTGCATACAGCTTGTTTGCAGTATTAACTAGTCTCTATGGTATGTACCAAAAACCTATTTGCAGCCTATACATATTATAAGGTGGAGTAGGTAAAACTGAAGCAGTTTAAGTCCGTCTCATTCTGACATACGCCTCGGGGTCTGCTGTATCATATATCGAGAAAATTACGAGGGCTGCACGATCACAGCTGGAGCCAGACGGGAGCGAAACGGCTCGTTCATAGGTAATGCCTATCCCAATAATCACTGAGGAGTATCTGGAACAAGTCTTATCTCCTCGAATCCCCACACTTTGCAACATCCATTTAACTTGTGAACATGTCCACCAATGGTATCCTTTAAATTGTACCTAGTGTTCTGAACTATCCAGCGTAATTCTTTCTGCATGTTAGTACGGGTGGAGCGTCCAACCTCGATACTGCAAAAGCATGTACCCCATTTTCGATACACGAAGGCTGACATAGAACAGTATATGGAAATGATATCACAAAGGCTAGCAGTTCGAACGCTCTTGTGAGATGTGTTACGGATTATTCACTGAAATGCATTCAATGCACAATTTCATGTTTGGACAGGTAATAGCTTGCATGAAGGAAAACATTTCCTCAAATCGCAATGCCCTTGTTTCTGAACACAACGTACTAATCTCAACGATCAAAGTTTGTTTTCTTCGATAGCAAGCCAGTCGTGAATGTGACGCAAAACTCTGTCTAGGATGCCGGACGACTTATAACTTGCGAGATGTTCTAAATTCTAAAATCTGGTTCATCAGATGACCTATTTTGCCTTGCCAATCCTCATTTTTCCTGTCTGATACTTTCGCAGTTGTTCCTACAAATGGTGAGGAAACACAAACATATTATTCCGGGGCGATGGGTGAAGATAGTGCTTTGAGAATGACTGGTACCAACTATCCCAGTTATTCGTTGGTACACAACTATGTGTCCCTAAATTACAGCAAATTGGGTTGGATTATGTTTGGACAATTTTCATGTGAGGTGGAAGCAGGTGAGCGCGAGAGTTGTTGAAAGGGATTTTCGATGAGCAAACGCGAGAGGATTTGTTGTCTCGTTTGCTGCTTTTGAAGTCCTGCACATAACAAATTCTTATTACATTTTGGAGCGAAAACATAGTATGGTTTGTCGTCTGAGGGGAACAATAGGGAGTGCAAAGGGGAAACCCCCCTTTTGCTTTAAAGATGCTTTCACTTCATGGCTAATGATATTACTTCCATGTAAATGCAAAATCTAGATCAATGATTGGAAAAAAATTCGGCCAGTTTTTCTGATATACCGTTTACAACATTCATTATTTACTGGCATTCAAAAGGCACACATAAAAAACATAACCAATGAACAAAATTCAGCTATACTTTTGTTTTATTTACTCTAACAATTTGCAAAACTTTTATACTTTAAAAAAGACGGTGCATACGGGACAGTTCTTTACAAAAGCAGCAGGACGATGAACGACAGTTGCCTGGATCTGCTCGAGAGGGACCTCACCAATCGTCACATAATAAGCTATGCGTTGTTA